GGCCACACCTCCTAATCCTTCTTAAATAGTGTTACTTCCTAATGACCAAGCATTCAAATATATGAGCCTCTGGGAGCCGTTTTTATTCAAACCACTACACCGGTCTCCTTCTGTGGTAGCTGTGTCCTGGATGTACACTATAGGAGGGAATAGGTTTGCAAATGAAGAGGCAACATTTCCCACTGTTTACCTAGATGGCTCTCAAACTTGCCCCTGAGAGTCCTCCATTGGTCAAAGCACTAGACACGAAAGAAGCATCCTGTCCCCTTTGAGCCCTGTTTACTAGCTGGCCTTGCCAGGTCATGCCTGTCCGTGGAGCTGTTCCTGAGAAGCTCCCAACTCTGTAGATTTCCACAGTATAACGAAGTGCTAGGATGCAACCAACCTATGTCAAATGGAACTCAAACACAACTGCCTCTCCCTACCCCCCATTTATTTTTAACTGCTTAAGAAAGGTGAACTATATTCCTTCTCTTCTTCCGGGAATGTTTGGATGAATAATAGACTCACCTTGATCATGAAATGAGGAAAATCTGTTTTTCAATATATTTAGACTCTGAGTCTCTAACAAAATGTTAAAGGCAGTGGTGAAAGCACAAAAGAGGTTTTGATAGAAGTGTGTGTGTGTGTGTGTGTGTGTGTGTGTGTGTGTGTGTGTGTGTGTGTGTGCCGACTGTGCTGGCTATCACAAACTATCCGTCTCCAGCTTTGGGGAGGCATTAGGTCAAGGCCCTTCAGATCCATGTCTTCCTACCTTTGACCATCATTTGAGACTGACTGCTTAGAAGAAGGTGGTCTAGTTACTGGAAAGATCCATCTTCCTCGCCACTGTTGCTCAGACTGCATAACTCCATGCTGCACCCGCAAAGGGTTTCAGTCTCTCTGATCTCCTAAGTTCCCAGTCCAACCCCAGTTCAGGTTTGAAACCAAATCTTTCCTTGCTAGTATAAGATCTTGAGCCTAGACCTTCCTACGGACTCCTCTCAAACAGAGGCAGGGGCTACGGCTGTCAGGGTGCTCTTGGAACCCTTCTCTCTTTCTCTTTTCTTTTTCAAATTAAAATACAGCAACATCATCTCTTCTCTCTCCTCCCTCCATTTCTTTATCTTTTAAATCTTTATTTTATTTTATGTGTATGGGTGTTTTGCCTGCATGTCTGTCTGTGCACCACTTCCATGACTGGTGCCTATGAAGGTCAGAAGAGTGCATCAGATCTCCTGGAACTGGAGTTACATGCATTTATGAGCTGCCATTGTGGGTGCTGGGAATTGAACTTGGGTCCTCTGGAAAGAACAACCAGTGCTCCTAACCATCAAGCCATCTTTCTAGTTCTATTTATCTTTTTAAAGAAAACAAAATTGGAGTTTTTTTTTTAAGCAAAAGGTTTTAACACAGATTTGGGTATGGATCTCAAGGAAGAGGGAAAAGTGCTTAGAAGGGCAGCACACACCCGTAAGATATGGATGCAGACTTCTCAAGAGCGAGTTGCCCTATTTCCCCTCTTCCCCCTTCTCTTCTTTCTCCTCATCCTCTTTTCGTTCTTCTTTTAGTATTTTTGAGACAGGGTTTCTCTGTGCAGTCCTGGCTGTTTGAAACTCACTCTGTAGACCAGGCCACTTAGAACTCAGAGGTCTTCCTGCCTGTGCCTCCCAAGGGCTGGATTTAAAGTCGTGTGTCATGATGCCTGTCTTCTCTCTTTTCTTTAGTGTAAGTTAGATCATATTTTCCAAACTGCCTTTCAGCTTTGGGAGCACTTGAATAACTTTGAGGCCAGACCCCCAAGTCCCCCCTATTGGATTCTCTCATTTGTATCTGGCCACTGGAAGCCAACACCCAGTATGACTTTGGCAGTCCTCTGTTGAATATGGAAGAACTTTCGTTAGCCAACAATGACTGACTCTTGGAAACCACTGTCTAGAGTGAGAAGCACTTTGTGTTGAAGATATGGGTGAAATTACAGAGATTTTAAAGCATTTCATAAGAAAATTCTTTGTGATATGGCCTTTTGAAGCTTTTTTTTTTTTGTTTTTTTTTTGTTTTTTTTTGTTTTGTTTTGTTTTGTTTTGTTTTTCAAGACAGGGTTTCTCTATGTAACTTTGTGTCTTTCCTGGAACTCACTTGGTAGCCCAGGCTGGCCTCGAACTCACAGAGATCTGCCTGCCTCTGCCTCCCAAGTGCTGGGATTAAAGGCGTGCGCCACCACCGCCCGGCTTGAAGCTTTCTTAATTTTGGCTTTTCCCCATACATTTTCTCTGCCCACTGGTTGTAATGCAATAATGATTGACCCAAGAGAGGAGCCCTTTTACCTTGTAGCCTGCCCTGGAGAAACCCCTTTCTCCCCAGGGTTCTGAGGAGACACAGACTTCTCCTGAGTGCCCACTGCCTCCTCTGCGCCGCTCTTCTCCATAGCGAGCGTTTCTCTGTAGGTATGTGCGCGGGCACATTGTCTTCTGTCTGCCTTTACCAATGCTCATGTACAGCGCATCTGTCACCACCCTTGGGCTGTGCTGACTGGCTCCCCACCTTCCTCTCACTGAGGCTCAGGCCACTCCAGATATCATCTCCCACTAGCAGTGGAGGGCTCAGTGTGACATGGTTGTCCATGATCTACTTGGTTTCCTGATGTCACAGAGGCTTTCCAAATCCTCCTCCCACCAGGCTTCTTTCCCACCCAAGGCCATCCTCCAATATCACGGATGAAGCTGAGGTGCTCTGGTATACATTCCCTCCATCTCTTTGCTGCTCTGTGTCCCCATCCCCTGACTTTTGGTCTCAGAGTCAATCTGACGCTGTCCTGTGACTCCTGTCTCTGTGTTCTTGATCCATTTCAAAGACCAATTCTGAACCAGTTTATAAATACAGTCACATTTCTTTCCTTAGAGAACAGTAACGACAACAAAATTCCTGGAAATAAAAAATACATCCCTTCCCTCATGCTCCATCATTTGTCCATCTCCTACTGCCTCCTACTGCCTCGCTCCTCAGTGCCACGCCCTGACCTATTATTTCTAGTATCCCTCTTCCTGCCTGCTCTTCGCAGCCTCTTCAGCAGGTCCTTGGTCTTCCACCAGACTTTAAGCTTCAGTGTGGGCCCAGGGCCACCTTTGACCCTCTCTGTTCTTCTGTTCCCCTCCACTCCTATGTGCTTTCTACATTAGCCACTTCCAGGGGTGGCCCTCCCCAGCTCAGTACCCAGGCTCTTGCTGGTACTTCCTACAGGATGGGGGTCCTCGGAGCACCTCACACCCAGTGCAGGGTGTATGTTCCACCTCTGTTCACATCTCTCTTCTCCTTTCCAGGAATGCCGCCTGGGACCCCCAAGCCAGACAGCACCCCTTCACAGATGCACTCTATACAATTGGTGTATGCCCTGAACTTCTTCTATCCACCAAAGCTCTCATATCTGTGGGTCTGCCTTGCAAAGCCCTACTGTCTTCAGTTCAGAGCCTTGGAGGGTGTCTCCTACCCAATGCTCTGCCTTTGGTCTTCTCGACTCTTTCCCTGCCCCCAGAGTCATCTTTATAAAAGACAGAACGTTATGCCACCCCTCCCCCACCAGCCCCTTGAAGGCTCCTCTTGCCTACGAGGCAAAGTTCAGCCTCCAGGGTGAGGGTTCTGAATCCTTCGTGGTCTGCACTGGCCCTGCTGCAGTCTCTCGGTGTCCTGTCATTCAGTCCTTTGGGGGTCTTGAAATCCCCTGTGCTCTTTCCTACACTGTGCCTCCGCTCAGAGTTCCCTCTGCTTGGAAGACCTCACCTTCCCTCCTACCAGTTGGTCCCACTTAACCTTTCCTTGCAGTGCTGGTCCTGGAACCCAGGTCTTATGCATGTTGGGCAAGCATCGAACCACCGGGCTATGTTCCCAGCCCACCAGCTGCTGGGGGATGTCTTTTTGTGTGCTGTAAATATATGTTGTTCCCATTGGTTAATAAATAAGCTGCTTTGGCCTATGGCAAGGCAGCTTAGAGGTAGGTGGGAAACCCAGGGAGAGAGACAGGAAAGAGAAAGGCAGAGTCTGGGGCGAGATACCAGCCTGCTGCCCAAGGAACAACATGCCAGCAGACTGGTAAGCCACGGAACATGTGGCAAAACATAGATTAATAGAAGTGTGTTAATTGAAGATATAAGAGCTAGCTAGCAAGAGGCCTACCATAGGCCAAACAGTTTGTAAATAATATTAAGCCTCCGAGTGATTATTTTATAAGTGGCTGTAGGACCTTGGGGCCGGGCAGGACTGGAGAAAACTTCTGACTACAACCAACAGTCTGTCTGTCTGTCTCTCTCTCCACATACGTGTGAGTGTGTAGGTCCAAGTGTGTATGTGTGGAGGCTGGGGTTCAACACTGGGGTGTGTGTGTCTTCTATCACTGTCTACCTTGGTTTTGAGACAGAGTCTTCGACTAAATCGGAGCTCACTATTTAGGCTAGCCCACAAGCCCCAGGAGATGCCCATCTCCACCCTCCTCCCAGCTGGGGTGGAGGTGCTTGTTGCTGCTCTCATTTCCCCCATGGGTTCTGAGGCTCTAAACCCAGGTACGCATACAAGCACCTTACCACTGAGCCACCTCCCCAGCCCTGTTGTTTTAAGACAAGACCTCACTACACAGCATAAGATGGTCCAGAACTCAGGATCCCTCCCCTCCCCCACATCTCACCCTTCCTCGAGCAGGGGTTATAGCCATGTGTCACCACACTACTTAACTTTTGAGTTTCATTCAGCTTAGGCAAAGCTTCTTCTAGATTTTCTTCTGGAGTTCATAGAGCTAAATGGACTTGGCTCTTTTTTCAGCATACTCTGCTCTTCTGATGGGAACCAGGGAAGGGTGGGATAATCTTGATATGGTGATATGTGCTACATCTCCAGGCCGGTGACCCTGACTTGTATTACAGTGGACCAGACACCTCCTTTAGTGCCTGGCACTTGGCAGCAGCTCTGTGTCCCCTGTTGGTGCTGGTGGGAAGTGGGCACTGGAAGATTAAAAAAAAAAAACTTAACTAAAAAACTTTTAAAAATTAATGTATTTTATGTGTATGGGTGCTTGGTCTGCATGTAAGGTACCATATGCATGGCTGGTACTTCATGGAGGCCAGACAATCTCCTGGGACAGGAGTTACAGATGGTTGTGAGTCACTATGTTGGTGCTGGGAATCAAAGAACAGCCAGTGTTCTTTACTGCTGAGCCATCTCTGACCCGTGGACAATTTTGATTCCAATTACAGAAGGTTTTTGGGCTGATGATGGGGTGGTAAAGTGCCTTCTCCCTCATCGGCCACCTGAGTCCCGGGGACCCGTATCTGTTAGGTGGTGGTCCCAGGTAGATCGAGTCATTACTGTCAACTCTGCTGAAGGCATAGTCATTGCTGCTGGAATGGCTCTTCTTCCAGCTGCAGCTGAAGGAAAACACCTGCAAGAAAAAAGTAAGCTGAGAGCTGAGAGTCAGGACTGGAGAGCGGGAGCGTGGTGAGGCCATGCATGGACTGTTTGTTTCAGACTTCCCATCACCTGAAACTGTCCTGCGGTGCAGTTTTGGTAATCCTCACTTAGGAAAACATTTTACTTGTGTTCTCAAAAGTTCTCTTCATCCATGTCTCTAGCAGGGATCCCATCCCACTCCTAAAAGGGCTAGACCCCAGCTTGGAATCATTAGCTGCTCTTCCCTCCCCTTTGACGTGGGTTGGGTTGTGGCCGGCCCAGCCTGAGGATGAGGATGTCTTTACCAGAGGACTTGGCATAGACAGTCTGCTTGTCTCTGCTCTGGGCGATGCAGGACATGTACAGCTTCTGGTCCTCAATCTTTTCTACTTGAATGTCCAGGACAGCCAGAGAGCCCACGGGGATCAGGCTGGAAGAGGAGGCAATTGAGTTCATTTCTGCACCGGCTCCCCACTTTGGCCTCTCTCCTTTTCTCACCCACCTCACCCGCACTCCAGGACTCACAAGCAGCCCTAGGTTCAGGGACTGTTTGTTGGTTCCTGGTGTTGAATGGCAGAGGTTGATTTCTGACCCAGGACTAGAGAAATGCTTGGTTAGGAAAGGAGCCTTGCAGAGCTTACACAACCCCACGATGAAACAGAGCCCTGCCATCAGCCACCGCCCGCCCGAGGATTCACACTTACTTTTTAAACCTGATGTTGAGACTTAGTGTGAATAGTCCTTCTCCAGCCAGATAGGCAGTTTTAGAAAATGTCTCATCCATCATGGCCGCCAGTGACCCTCCGTGGGCAAACCTGGAGTTCAGGATGGGAAGTTAAGACTAGGGCTAGGGTTGCTAGATAGACCCCCTCCCTGGGCTGCTTTTCAGCACCGTGGGAGGTACTAAACCTCCCAAGCTTTTCTCTTTCTTCTGAGTCCCCCTAAAAGTGGATCCTCCATCTCAGGCAGCCAAACAGGAAAGGCACACAGAGATACGTCCTGTGGGCTTCATTAGTTCAAAAGTAACTGAACTTCCCTCCGTTTTGCTTCAGCAAAACGTGTTAACCACTGATACAACTATTTTATTGCACCAATGGAATTTTTTTTTCTCACAAAATTAAGAGACCATTTTCTGATTCATCACCTAATTGCTGGCTGCAGTTGCCACATTTTAGAAGGCATTCAAAGAAGTGGAAAAAAACCCCTGAGCTTTTGGACTTAGTCTCTCGTGGTTTTGCTTTTTGAGACATGATCTCACTCTGAAGCCCAGGCTAGACTTGAACTCATGGCAATCCTGCTTCAGCCTCCTGAGTTCTGAGATTGTAGGTGTGAACTACCATGTTTAGCTTGATTTAGTCTTTGAAGCACATAAGCTTGGGCCATCTCTCACCCTACCAGTCCCTCAGCCATTGCTGGACCCACAGTTTTGAGGCAGGTTAATTAACTTATGACTTATTAAAGGGCCTGCAAGGTAGGCTTCTGAGCAGCACTCTTTGGAGAACATCAGAGCCCACTTCAGTGTGATAGCACAGACATTTGCTTATGTCAAACCTCATTGTCATTTATGCAAACTGCACTTCACAACAAGGCTTTGTCACCGTTGGTTAAGCGAGGGGAGAATATGCACATGACATAAAACAGATCTGGGCTCTGCACTGAGAGGACCAGTGCCCTTCCTCGTGGACCCAGGCCAGCTGTTCTTGCTGTCTTGCCAAGGCTGCAGTGGGATGCTCAGGCCCTCCCTCCCCTCCTGCTGTAGTGGCATCATACCAGCTGGCTGGACTCCTGGTTCTGCCACTCACTACCTATGTGTTCTTGAACAACCTGCTGAACCATTCTGAGCCTTCATTCCCGCCCCCTCCCACCCCCAGGTATTGTGAATAAAAAGAACGACTATCTCATTGATTAAGTTCCCCAATCTCATGCACACTTCCGGGCACTTGCCTCCATTGCTGTGAAGAGAAAACGAGTTGGTGCCTAGACCTGCCCTTGCCTCTCTGTGTTCCTTGGCAAAATGCTGATTCTGCAGAGCAGTTCTTAGCTGATGGCAATTCCTTCCCACTTGCTTTGCCTGGGACTCAGTGGATCCTGTCTCTGTACTCTCAGTCCACTGACCGGCCTCAGTGCTGGGCCATCTGCTCTGCCTTGTTTTATAGCTTTCACACACCCCGAATGAAATGCAGCTGCATTTCTCTCCACACTGTCTCCTTGGGGATTTCTTTTTCAGAAGGGAAGGAATCCTTGACCTCTTAGGACTTGTATTTATGGAACATTCTGAGGCTTCAATCAGGGGGTTCTTCATACATGCACAGTGGAGCCTGGAGAAGAAGCTAACTCAGATTGTTCTCACAGGCCTGGCACTGAGAAGATGAAACCTAGTTCCTTGCACCCCATTTTAGGTCTTTAGAGACTCCAGGCCTAGTGGGTGCTGGACCTACCCTGCTGAGCCAAGCCTGTGAGGAATCTACCCTGGGCTGTCTGAGGCCTTACCCTGGTGCCCCCTCCAGGTAGGGGCCTGGCTGGAAAAGACAGACTGACTTCTTCTCAGATGGGTGGAAAAAGATGACATATTCATAGCCTTGTCCTTCCAGTTGGATGCATCTGGTAAAGATGCGCCAGTCCTGTTTGTCTGGGGAGAGAGGACAGTTTTGAAGCAGAGATACCTCAGGGTATGGGGACTTGTCAGGACACAGCATCATGAGCTTAACAGGGACAAGGGGGGAGGACCAGACACCCCAGCTCTGTTGTTAGGAAGTCTTTTTACAGGGGAGGAGGGAACAAAACATGCTCCTTGTCCCTTGTCTTCTGAGAGCCTGTGCCCTGGGGAACGAACACTCATAAAGTGCATGACCAGGCAAGCATTCTACCAACTGAGCTGTCTCCTCAGTCTGGAAATAACGAAAAATGTTTTTTCTCAAGACAGATTTTTCTCTGTGTAGCTCTAGACTTGGAACTCACCCTGTACACCAGGCTGGCTTCGAACTTACACCATCCACCTGCCTCTGCTGGGACTAAGGGTGTGCACCACTGTGCCTGGCCTGGTGCCTCTGCTTGGCCTGTACCATGAGTTCAAAGGTCACCTACAAGTTATGTCGTCCATTCCTCGCTGAGGAGCAACCACATGTATGAATGAAAAAAAAAGAAAGAAAGAAAGCACAGACTGACAGACACACAGAGACAAAGAGTGGGGCAGGGTAAAGGTGGCAGCTCTGTCAATCAAATCCGCTGTGTGTCTCCAAGTGCCATCTCACCTAGCCGAGCAGAGGTGTCGTGCTGAGGCCTGCAGGAGGTAAGGGATGCCCCAAGGTTGTCACAAGGCTGGGAAGGCAGGGCTGGGACAAAGCTTAGCGGAGGGAAGAGCCATTGGTGAGAAACCAGAAAGAGCAGGGTCCTGTGTTGGCAGCCCTCCAGCTGGGCTGCAGCTGGGAGCAAAGGTGCCACTTGGGTGTGCTCCCCTTCAGAGAGAAGGAAAGGAGCCAGGCTGACAAACCTGTGTAGACATGCTTCCCATCCACAGCTGCTCTGCAGGAGGGGGAGGGGGAGACAGCAGCGAGAGCCTCCAGTCTGTGGGGCGCCTGAATGTCCTTCCTGAATGTCTCAACATTTTTTATTGTACTAATTCTTGGGGGAATTTCATACAATTTATTTTGATAATATTTACCCTCTTCCCTTTGGAGAAAAGTTCTTCCTGAGTAGTCTTGGGTGGCTTTGCAGACCAGGCTGGCTTCAAATTCACCTCACATTCACCTGCCTCTGCCTTCTGAGTGTTGGAATTTGTGTGCCATGACTAGCCTTCCTGAATGTTTTCAAACCAGAGAAAGGCGGCAGGCTGAACTGACCGAGTGTTTCAGGCAGGGTCCCCCACTGTGGGTAGAGGAGTGTGTGTGTGTGTGTGTGTGTGTGTGTGTGTGTGTGTGTGTGTGCAGAGGAGTGTGTGTGTGGAGGTGTGCATGTATGGATGGAGTTGTGTGTATAGGTGTGTATGTGTGGGTGGGAGTGGAGTGCACCTTTAATTCTAGTGCTCCTATGCAAAATATGAGGTGAGGACCTCATATTTGTGTGCAGGGGGATGGGCAGAGGTGTGTGTGGGGTAATGATGGAGGTGTATGGGCAGGTGAAGGTGTGTGTGTGTGTGTGTGTGTGTGTGTGCGCGCGCGCGCGCACGTTCTGGACACTTTCAGACCTGGTCTTACCTGAGGCAGCTACCAGCCCGGATGGGAGCTTAAGCCCCCGGATATGTTCTCTGTTGGATTTGAAGGAGGGTAGTTTAATCCACCTATCTGACTTGGTTTTCTCCAGAAATTCTTGGTACAGGCTCAGCATATCTGGATTCCAGCTGGCATTGGGAAGGGCATAATCCTTTAAATCTGTGTTCTCTGGACAGAATCTTGCAACCTAAGCAAGAAAAATCAGGATGGCATGATGACATCTTGGAAGGTGGGGATCATTCTTGGGCTGTGGGACCATCATTTAGTCTGTTTTTGGGTTTGGGGCTTTTCAGTCCTGTCTGCTGGAGTGTTACCCAAAGAAAGAGCCCATCTTCCTCGTAAGGGGTTTGGAGACACCTGAGTATGAGTGGCCTAGCGGTGTTAAACAGCGAAGAAGTGGGGACGTCGAGGATGGGATGGGATGGGGACCAGCCATCCCATGCTCATTGTGCAGAGGTGCAGCGCTGTTAGTGTGAGTAGTTCCTTGAAATGGAGGACCGCTACTATTAGTCCCCTTGAACAGGTGGGGACACTGGGGAACTATGATTAAGTTTATTACACTTGGGAGAGACAGACAGACACTGTTTCACTGAGGGGTAAGCCTGCAATTGGTGAGAGGTGTTTATTAACCCCTCACTACAGGAGCTAGTGGCTTATGGGCCTGTCTGGTAGCTCCTCTGAGATGCTTTCAGGCCCCAAAGAAGTGGAATACCACGGTCAGGGTCAGGGGCAACGTGGTCATCTGCCACATGTCAGTCATTAGTCACTTCTGTGGGTAATGAGCTTCTGATTGACAAACCCACAGACGGGCTTTTGTCGGGGGATACCTCACTTAGCTGTTGCAGTGTACACCCTATAAGAGATTTGCCGGTGGCCACACAGGATTTGGACCAGGATCTGTCCTACTAGATTTCATTTGGGATATGGCCAAATAAGTACCCCAAAGCATTTTCCCTTTGCCAAACCAAACAGCTCCACATCAGCCCAGAAATAAGGCAGGAAAAGAGGATTTAGGGTGCTCGAGCCCCAGACCCTTAGAGAGGAAGGGAGCTCATCTGACTCTTTGGGAACTTACCAGGGAGTCTGTGGAGGATCCGAATGCTGAGGCCTGGTGCAGTCCGGGCAGGAGATGGGGGTTTCTCGGGAGAGCTTTGTGGTGGACAAGTCTTGCCACCCTCTGGAAGCCTATCCTCATCATGGCTGCGTGCTGGGATCCTGGCTTTGCTTGGATCGATAGATACAGGCTGACTCCGGAGGACAAATGAACATCAGACAGCCTTGCTGGGATGATGGTGAAACAGCTTCCCTCCAGGTTCTCCTGACTCAGGCAGGCTTTCTCCTAGCAGGGACCTCCCACTGAAGAGAGGGTGGCTGTGCAAGAGTGGGCTGGACTGGTACCACACCCACAGGCTTGGGGCCTTGAGCTGGTCCCAGAGCCCTGCCCAGTGCTGGGGAGGGGTACTTGCTGCTTGAGCATGAATGGGCAGGAGGACTGGCCTGTGCACAAACAAGTAGTGTGGGATACACAGGGACTAAGAGAGAGGCCCTAGGTTTCTGAGGGTAGAAGTCAAGAAAATCTCCAGGAAGATCAGTTTGTTGTATTAGAATCCAGATTGGATGGCAGCCCAAGCCACAGTACCTGCAGCAGCCCATCCCCACCTACAGATACTGACAGGTACCCTATGGAGAGCACTGTCTGTGACTCTCTAGATGACAGACTCCCAGGCACCCAGATTTCTCACCTGGGGGAAATCTGCAGGCTCCAGCACATCCAAAGGCTACACATGGCAGCAAACCCTGTTTCCCATTCTCCTTCCCTGATGCTTGTTGGGAAATCAGAGAACCTGGGTACCGTCTCATGCTGTGAATGCCTCTTCTTCCTCAGAGGCCTGAGGAAGGGACCCCACTTCTGCCTCCTGGGCCCGATTCTACTTCCAAGAAGAAGAGATCTGCCACACTGTCTGTCCCTGAACTCTCCTCAGATCCCTACCATTCTGTTTCTGTCAGTCTGTCCATGGCAAATGATGCTTCTAACAAACTCCATACTCCCAACGGTCTGTCTCACTGTTCCTCTTGAATCCCACTTCTGAGACCTTTCACATCTGTCCCTCAGTGGGAGAGTGTTGATGGAGAATTTGTAGTATGTGCTCTGTGGCATGATTTTCAAAGCTCTGATATGGTCTGGGGACTCAAAAAACAAAGAAACAAACAAAAACACAACAACCAGCGAAGTCAGCTCACAGCCTTAAGCACCTTCCTCTGTGTCCCAGGCAAGAGTTAGCACAGGGGGCGACTGCTTGCTGGTTCTTGGCTTGTGATAGGAGTTGGTGGGGGCCTAGTGGGTGGTACAGGAGATCGCCGAGGGGAAGCTGCTTAACAAGGGACCTTGTGTGCCCTGGAACTCCAGGGAAGGGGTGAAGGTAGCAGACAGCGCTGGGAATGAGGTGGGGTAGGCAGTGGAGGCATTACCAGGTACAGGTGCTGCAGGGAGCCCACCAGAGATGACCACTCAGACTCAGTTTATAGCCAGTTGAAAGTCTTTATTCCAGCTGTCTGGGACTATACAGGTATTTGGGGACCCAAGTGTGGCTTCCAGCATTTACATCAAGGGGCACTTAAAGGTAAAAACCACATCCTTGTATCCTGCTGAGCAGCTGCAGGGGGAGGTTTGCACAAGCAAGCAACTCAACAGGAGATAAGTTATCTGGAACATCTTGGTCTTGGGTCCTAGAATGGAGTTGGGTCATTTTCCCTGGGGATTCTCCAACAAGGAGATCAAATTCTTGTTAAACCTGAAATGAAAGTACAAGCTGGAGGAGCCTCTGCACTGTCTTGCCATCACACAAGCTCGCCCAGATGCTTTGGTGGTCTATGTGAGTGCGAACAGACTAGGAGTTAGAGGGACTCCTTGTAGGCAGACAGATAAGGAGAGGGACCGTGGCTAGGTTATAAAGGGGTGAATTTCCAAGATGGTTGGTTTCTTCCTCATCTTCTTGACTTGGGACAAAACCCTGGCAGCTTAAACGAAAGGCCTTCTAGGCCTCTGTTTTCCACCAATCCTGCTGATGAGCTGGCTCAACAAGTTCAAGGCTGGGCCGGGACACGCTGCAGTTGCAGCCAAGCAACCATCCTATCTGTCTTCAAACTGATGAGCCCTAAATTAAAGGAGTAAAATTCTTCAGAGGCTTTTCAACCCCGCCCCCCCCCCCAGCCTGTAGTTGGAAGTTTTTCTATGTCCTGCCCAGTCCCACAGCCGCTCAGACCCAAATAAACATATAGAGGCTTATATTATTTTCAAACTCTGGCCATGGCAGGCTTCTTGCTAGCTAGCTCTTATGTCTTAAATTAACCCATTTCTATAAATCTATACCTTGCCATGTGGCTTGTGGCTTGCTGGTACTTTACATCTTGCTTCTCCTGGAAGCAGCTGGCATCTTTTTCCTCTCTGCCTTTCTTCTTCCTGTTTCTCTCTTCAATTTCCCACCTAGCTATAACCCAACTTGCCATAGGCCAAATGGCTTTATTTATCAACCAACACATATTCATAGCATACAGAAAGATATCACACAGTACCAGCCCATAAGAGACTTCTGCTTTCTTTCTACTCCTGTTTTTCCTTTTTGGGATGGGAATGTCCACTATGTGCCTGTCCCACCACTGTATATTGGAAGTATATTGCTTGGATTTTGAATTTTACAGGGGCTCACAGTTCTTGGTCTGCTTTGCAGAGGCTCTTTTTTTTTTTTTTCTGTATGTCTGCTGTGTGTTCGTGTTTATTCACTCCCAATAGACACTTCCCTTCTACTGCTGATTTTGTCTGCTGCTGTCCAAGGTATTTAAGAGTTTTCTGTAGCCACATGCTGTTCCCCATCCAATTTTTTCCTGACTTTTAATTCTTTAACTGGCAGAGAAAATGAACCCTATCAAGACCCCTAGACCGTATGAAATATTCAATCAATGCCTACGAAGTTGTGAATTTTTTTTGTGGCATTGTATTTTCTATTGATTTAAAACCACTTTCTTCTCTTCTCCCTCCCTTCCTCTCTCCTTTCCTTCCTCCCCCTCTTTCTTTTATTCTTGAGACAAGGTCTCGCTATATACCCTAGGTTGGCTTTGAACTCATGATCCTCTTGCTACAGCTCCCTGAGAGCTAGGACAATGGGTATGTACTAACAGAAAACCTCCCCAGCAAAACCTCCTGCTTTCAACAGAAACGTCTGGTTTTAAACTTCTGAAAATAAAGCATATTCTAAAAAACAAGACTGTTCAAAGATAGGGTAATGGTGATGCTATTTTGGCAGGTCCTGAAAGATCAAAGTGATTTAGTATGGATGGTAAAGGTTTGTCTCATTACCAAACAGTGCCATTTTATCAGCCACACAAAATACCAACCATGGAGATAATGGATTCAAGAAAGAGTTCACTTGGATGTATCCAACAGGATTTAATGTCTGCCCTGATGGATTTGGTCTTCTTTTAGTCCTATCCCTCTTGCTATTCCTATTTTTCCTTTGGAATGAGAATGTTCACTATGTGCCTATCTCACCATTGTATGTTGGAGGTATATAGGGTATATAGTTTTTTTTTTGTCTTGAATCTCAGAAAAGATGTTGGACTTGAACTTTGAGCAATGTTGGGATAATTAAGACTTTGGGGATTCTTAGAAGTCTTTGAACAAATTTGCATTGTCAAATGGCTTTGAACCTTTGGGAGCCAGTAATGAAATGTCATAGTTTGAGTGGAATACTCATGCATTGAAGGCTTGGTCCCATTGCAGCAACATTTAATGGTGGTGCCTTTGGGAAAGGAATTGGATCTGTGCATTAACTGACAGGTGGATTCATAACTTGAGAAGGATTGGAAGGACATGGCATTTAGGAGGTGGGACCTAATTGTAGGAAGTGGGTCCTTGTTGCCACATTCTGAGGACCATGTCTTGTTCCTGGCCTCTTAAGTTCTCTTTTTCTGTTCCAAGCTGCATGAGGTGAGCAGGCTGGCTCCATCACACCTTTGCCTTTCCACAGATCTATAAACAATGGAATTAGCTGACACAGCATAAAACTTCTGAAACCATGAACCAGAATAGACCTTCCCTCCTTTAAGTTGATTTTTCATTGGTGGTTTGTCAGTGATGAAAGTCTGGTTAAATGTAATTTCAGGTATTTGCATAATTATGCTTACATAACTTTGTTCTCTGCCTTGCCACATGCCTGGTGCTATTCCCTTTCTTGTGTAACTTCTGTTTTACTTGAGTTGATAATTACTAAGGTTTGGCAGGCATGTGGTACAGGGGAATATAGGGGACCAGAGGAGCCAAATAGTTGAGGTGACCAATCTCCATTTCCTAGCTGGGAAGGAAGAATATTCAGGATGGAGACAATAAATCCTCTGGTGACATCTGTGATATTTGAAGAACAAATTTAGTGGGATCCGGACATGCACAATGGAGATAACTCAAAAGGTATCTATCTAGAGAGAGGAGGCTCTGAGTCAGAAGGTTGGAGAAGAGAAGAGCCGTGGAAAGTTATCTCAGAGGAGGGAGACTAGGCCCATAGGAAGTCACCTGCCCACTTAGTGCTTCTTTGTTTCCATCTACACACAGCTGAGTGCATTCTGTAAACTGGGGCACTTCTTAGGGTTTTGCGGGCAGCTGTCCAGGGAGGCGGAGAGGTGGTTGGCTAATGAATGCTTTGAATGGTTCGGACCCTTCTCCATCTATAAGAATTTTGTTTCATGAAAAACAAAGAAAACCCAGGTCAGAGCAAAGAAAGCCTGCGCTTTGACCTCTTTGGGAAAGCAAGTAGAAAAAGTGAACTCGGCGATGGGTCGACACAACTTCACACTTCATCAAATTCGATTCAGTTTGTTACCCTGCCTGGTTTGTGCCCAGTTGGGGGCTCAAAGGTGACTTGAGTTTTGTGACTTTTTTAATAAGCATATCCTGGGCCTGGTAGTTAGTTCCACGATGACCCGGCAGTGGTACACTGAGGCATGTTTAATGATCTGCTCTGGAGTTAGGGATAAGCAGGTAGTGACGGTGAAGTCTGATTTGTAGGTTTGCCAATTTCTGTGGTGCAAAAATTCCCTCCATGACTGATTCTAAGTCAGTGTCACAGCTGTGCATCCGGTCAGCAGTGTGCACCGTCAGCTCTGGTGAGTGGCAGGAACTCGCTGTTGGCAGGTCACGGTGTGAGCCATGGAAGTGAAGCAACTGCATTCATCAAGGTCTTTTCGGGTTCAGTAGATTAACCTTTGCCCCAGATGTCACTTCCACTGCAGTATGCTTTGGATTCTTGTCTCTCCAGGGATGACCAAATTCATTTTGTTGCCCCTCAAACAAATGTACAGGACATTAAATCAGCAAGAATAGACAGAAAAAATTATCAACATTTCTAGAAATCTTGCAAAGTCTACTTCATCTTGGGTGGCTGGGAAAGCCCCTCTGAGGTAAATCCAAACACGTGACACTGTTCCTCTGATGTGGGCTGGCTCTTTGCTGTGATGTGGGATTCCAAGCACTTTGGAGAGATTTTGTCTGGGATGATTCCCTATCTAGCCTTTGAGGATGAGGAATGAACTTCCCAGACGCCTTTCCTAGGTAAGCATCCTACCCCCTGAGCTACACTCCCAGCCCAGAAACCAGTCCTGAGTTCAAAACCCCACTGAATGTGTGTTCCTGAAGTTTTATCATGAGGCATCTTGTAAGGGTCTGGGATAGCTCATTTTCCTCTCAGCCTATAGCTGGTTCCTATGCTCATGCCAAGACTGGCCCACTCTTACACTGGTGGTCTTATGCTTTCTTCTGGGCTATGGATCTGAGGCCAGCTGGGCCAGAGTAGTTGTGCATTATAAAATTGGTGGGCTCCCACAAATGCCACCACAGTGGCCTAGTTCCCTCCAGGAGACATAACGGCAGACTATAGACCCAGATATCAATTCTGTGAATGTTTAAAGGACACTCTCAGCTCTGGGTGCTTGCTCAGGTCAAGATCAAATGTGAGAAATGGACTCCTTTATGGTTCTGGCCCAAACTGAAGAGATCCATTTTCAGTCTTCAGTCTTCCCCATGGTACTCCTAGAACTTACAGAAGGGATAGAACCTTGCTTAGGAAACACCCTCTGTAGACTGAGCTGTGTCTCCGTGAACTGAGCTGGGAGATAAGTTGCAATTCAGCCTTTTGTTTTTGTTTGCTTTCCTAGTTGCATCCTTCTGGCACCAGAGGTTTGGTGGTATCTTTTCCCATTCTGTGAAACACTCAGAGGTTGGCACGATGCCATCTATGTCACAAAATGTTTTGATGATGGGTAAGATCTCCGAAGATCCACCACTTACCATTCTAAGAACATGCCAATGGGAATTCAGCAGCTTTGGGATACCAAAACAAAACAAAGTATCAACATGGGTGAATACAGCAGGAAAAGATCCCTTTGTCTGAGTCGATCATTTCTTCTAAGGAGCAGTGTTGGGCTTGGCGTGTGAGTAGGAGGCACAATCTTATTTAGCTCCCTGTCGTCCACAGTCATCCTCCGTGAGACCTCACCTTCCTCATTCTGCAGCAGTTCTGTGGAGCTGCACGGCATCTTTCTGACTCAAGATCTTGAAGAACTTGGCAGCTTGCACTGCTTATCTAAGCCTGAGGCTAAGAAGGAGGGGCTAAGGAGGAGGGAAGCCTGCTCCTACCTGCTCCTTCTTGATACACCCACTGTACTCACCACACCTGTGCCAGCTCCTATTCCCTCATAAAACCACCAGACACTTTAGTTGCAGGAGATTTTTTTTTTTTCCAAGAAAGGAATTCTCTATGTAGCCCTGGCTGTCCTGGAACTGGCCTAGGTTCCAACTGTAGACCAGGTTTGCCTAGATCTGCTTGCCTCTGCCTCCCGAGTTCTGGGATTTAAGGCGTGAGTCACCACCACCCAGTGGAGATTCTTATAACACTAGAAATAAGTAAATTCATTTTTTAAACTTAATTTTAAACTCTACTTAATTTTCTAGCCTTGTAAATTGCATCCTTTGAGTAATGAGGAGCATGTATATAGCCACTGTGAAGAAACTCAAGAGTGTCTCTCTTTCCAATGGTGCTGTGGTCTGAATGAGAATGGCCCCCATAGGCTCATATGTTTGCAGTCCCCAGTTAGTGGAACTGCTTGGGAAGTATTAGGAGGTGTGTCACTGGGGATGAGCTTTGAGGTTTCAAAAGCCTAGGGCAGTGTCTGTCTCTCTGCCTGCTACCTGTAGATCAGGAGGCAAAACTCTCAGCTACTGCTCTACTGCCATGCTTATCTCCTTTCCACCA